AGGTTGGGGAGGGTACAAGGAAGAAACCACTCTTGTATGGCAGTGTCACCCAGGAGTGTGTGTTGTTGGATTGTCCACAGGGGAATCTGTAATGATCTATGGAAAAGTGAAGAGTGCATATCCTTTGACCTAGAAATTCTCTCTCTAGGAGTCTTCCCTGGTGGTACACTTGCACACGTGTGAAATGATTTATTACATTGTTTATAATTGCAAAAGTTCAAAACAAATTAAATATCCCTTGATAGGGGCTTAGTAAAATAAAATATGATACATCTATTGAATTGAATACTAGGCAGCGGTTTTATAATGAAGTCACCTCTCTGTGTATACTGAGGAATGATCTCCAAGATAAATTGTAGAACAAAAAATGATGTGAGCAATAGTGTGTATGCTGCCATTCGTGCCGGAAAAAAAGAATAGTATACACAGGGGCTTGTTTATATATAGAAATCCCTGAAAGGAGATAAATAAAATGAGTTAAGAGTGCTTTCCTCCAGGAGTCTCATGTTGGCATGGGAGAACCATGAATTATGAAAAACAAACAAAAAATTAATAAAAAACCAACTCTAAACTAAGAAGCTAAGAAAACTGATCTAATTCAGCACCTAGGTACAAATTTTAAAATCCACAGTATTAGCCATCTGAAAATAGAGGAATTGCTGATGTGCAACTCTGCCTTTAATTACTTTCTTGCTAGCCTCTAAATATTTCTCATTGAAGGTTCTGCTATACATTTAGTTAGAGAGAGAGAGAGAAATGTGGCTTGTTATCAACACCCTCTTCCCCCCCACCACAAATCCAATCAGCATCCTCGAATTGCTTACCTTGTGCCTTTGAGTCATTTCTAATGAGAGATAATGATAGCAAGTGGCGAGGTCTCAGGTGTGTCTAGAAAGGGTACCAGTGTAGGCCAGGTCAATTTTGATTCATTGCACATTGAACTTTTCACTTTCCGTTCCTTGGCACATTTATAGCCATTAGTGAGGAATCTAGGAGCACTGCAAACCCAAGCCAGTCGGCACAACTGACTATAGATCCTCTGTGGATGTACCTGGGAAGCGGAAGTCTAGCTGAAGGGAAATAATGTCTATCCACAAGGAAATCCTATGAGATAAATGTCTCTGCTCTCAGCAACCTAGAGGACATGCTCCCTGGCTTGGGTGAGGGGAGAACAGAGCAATCCTTACCAACATACACACAAAAAGAATTTGCCCATATGCTGACCGCAGATTGAGAGGAATATGAAGTCAGTAAAACTGGGTGATGTTCATTAGCAAGTGTATCGTGGCTCTGGAAATAGAGGAAAACTAGGTGATTTATTATACAGTTAATAGAAATGTTCTTCATGTAACCATTTAGTCTGAGTGTTTTTTTTTTTTTTTTGAGTACCTACAATGGGCTTGGCACTGTTCTGGGTCTTGGGGATGGATCAAAAAAACAAAATGAAGTCCTTTTTTTTCAATTATTTTTAGTTGTCAATGGATCTTTCATTTTATTTATATGTGGTGCTGAGGAATGAACTCAGAGCCTCACACATGCCAGCCAAGTGCTCCACCACTGAGCCACTCCTCCAGCCCCAAAATGTAGTCTTAATCTTCATCTGCCCACATTCTTCAGGGAAGGGAGGGAATGGTAAGGAGATAGATGATTCATGACAAGTAATATGATATAATGCTAGGAAATGATGGATCTGAGTCCATTTTTATGGTAAGGGAAGAAAAAGACAAGGAACTGGGTGAAGACAGTTAGAAGGTCAGGAAATCCTTTCTAAAATCCTTTAACTTCACTTATCAGATACCACCTAATAGGTGAAGTTAAAAACCAAACCATGAAGCTATATGAGGGAAGTGATTGTACAAAAGCCCTGGGGCTGAAATAGCATTTCCCACACACAAACAGATTAAGGGAAAGTGTTCAGAAAATAGTTAAAACACAAAACTGTCTATTCCCTATGTACATGCATAGGGCTACATATCAGTGAGGGGAAAAAAAAAACCTTGAAAAGTTACCATCCTTATAGTTCTTCAATTTGGAATGAAGACAGGTCATTCTCAAGAGTGGACAGTGTCTTCTAATTCCTTGTCTGATCCAGTCCTGCCTAGTGTCTGTACAATCTACCTAATATCTGATGACTAAGTGGATGAATCATTGCAATTCTTCTGAAAATGTTTTATTCATCATTTTAAAAAAATGAAGTTGCTACTTCCAAAAATTCAGTTTGTAATAGCACATTGAATACTCTTCAAAACAGTGGGATTTCTCTGAAGGGATCTGACTTTAGCTCAGGGGCTGCCCAAAACATAATTGAGTAGCAAGACAGAAGCAAGGGTTTATTGACTAGCTAACATCTGCTGTGGTCTGGTGCCTGCATCATCCTGGGCAACCCTCAGAGCTGCTCAAAGAGGAAAATGTTGTGCCCATAGGTTAGTTTAGGATAATGAAACTGAGAGAAAATTCAGTGTCTGTCCCACCAACACAAGACCAGCAGATAACAGAGCTGAACAACTGAGCTTCACATTCTAGGTTCACCCTCTGTTGAGCTCCAAGATCCTTAGACTCTTCCCATTGTGGCCAACAGCTTCTGAGTAGCACTTTTCTGTGCCCAGTACTCTCAAGGAGTTTCCCAGACCCTCCCAGCGTGGCAACTCACTGGGAGCTATTCCCTCTGCTTTTTCTTCTCTGCTCTTAGTGTCAAAAATACTGAATCCAAAGCTCACATTCACCCCTTACTGGTGGTGTGATCTGGCAGGATATTTAGTCTTATTGTGCCTCTTCTTTGATATTTTAAAACAGAGGTAACTGTGTGTTGGAGCTGTGGTGCACCGTTAATGAAAGTATGCAGGCAATGTCTCCGGACCAGCCTCTGATACATGTGGCAGGTACTCAACAAACAGGTGAATCTACATGTGGCCAACTTGCATCTGGGTCCTACTGATGATCAGCTGATCTGATAAATGAATCCTGGATTAATTACCAATGATGATAATAGCATAAAATATGGTGTCTCCCCAATAACATCTACAATTCAACATAACTGACGTTAATGGCTAGTGGTGGAAAGGCCTCCCAGGAGCACCCATCCCCATCCCTTGCCTTGCTGTTCACTGGGAAGGCAGTCCATTCATTCAAATTCCATTTGGCCATGACACAGGCTCTGAGTACATCTAACATGGGGGCTGACTCTCCTCAATTGAATAGAAACTGCTACTCAAAGGCAGCGGTCAACATATAGAGCCCCAAAGTTAAAGTGCAGGGGAAAGAAATGAAGTTCTTCAGAACACTCTGGAAATGAGTCAGTCTAGTGAGCCCTGCTTCCTGAAATATAGAATGTATCTTTTTATGTGACTGTTTTGTTTTCTGGATCATCTTGACTGAGGGCAAGAGAATGGGAAAGGTAGGCCGTCCCTGGGGGCTGCCAGGACAAAGTGCCACAAACTCAGTGGCTTCCAACAACAGATTTCTCATCAGCCAGTTCTGGGAGCAAGAAGTCCTAGGTGGAGGAGGCGTCAACAGGACCATGCTCCCTCTGACACCTCTGGGGACGACCCTGCCCTGCGTCTCCCTGGCTCCAGTGGGAGGGACGATCTTGGGCATTCCTTACAAGCAGATGCCTCACTCTCATCTCCGTCTGTGTCCTCGAGTGGCTCTCTCCTCCCCGCTGTCCTTTTTAAGGCCATAGTTCAGCCTACTCCAGTACAACATTGTCTTCCCTAATGACATCTGCAATAGTCCTATTTCTAATTGAACTCATATTCTGAGATATTGGGGATTGACGCAGTCCATGAATCTTTGCTTCAGCCCCTAGCAGTGGGCAACTAGCCTTCCCTGGGGCTCAGGAATAGAGGTTTGAGAGTCAGGGCATGGTTTCAGTTGTAGAGGGCCTGTGCCTCATGTCCCAGAGCCTGTGGGGACATCAGAGGCCTAGAGGTCACCTTTCCCTTCCTCACCATGGATGGTATGTTTTTACAAATACCAAAAGTGTCCAAGGGGGCTGCCCCATTCAGGTGACTTAGAGTTATGGAATGTGTAAATTCTGGAGCCAAAGAGTTTCACCCTACTAGGTTTCCATTTTAATAGCAAGAGTCTATTTCTCGTGGCTCTGAGGACTGAATCCAGGGGCACTCCATCATCAGCCTCATCCTCATCCCTTTTTATTTTATTTATTTATTTTTTATTTTCAAACAGGATCTCACTAAGTTGCCCTGGTTGGTTTCAAACTTACTATCCTCTTGCCTCAGTCTTCTGAGTTGCTGGAATAACAGGCATGAGCCACTAAGCTCAGCTTTAAATTTCTATCTTCTTCCCATGTGTGAGAAAAACATTTATTTCTTACCGCTGATTATCCTGCTTTCATCAAGTGGAAACATAAAATTTCCATTTTTATAGATAGAAAATGGTCAAATACTGGCAATTTCATGCAGTTTGACCTCTATATTCCATTAGATGCTGTCCTGATGATCTCTATTTGGCTTCAATCCTTCAAATTAGACCTAGGACTTCAAATTTTAGACTAGGTGTAATCCTTCCCCTTATATCCTTGGGGCACCACCAAGAACTTTAGCACTCTGCCATTACATGAATACTCATTCAAGAAAGAAGTGAGAGTTGGGAGATTCTGAAAGGTCTGGGTTCAAATTATCCCTCTATTATTTACTAGGTGCTTGACCTTTGGGAACTACATCCTGACTCTCCATCCTCTACCCCTCTGAGTCCCAGGGAAGGCCAGTTATCCACTGTTATGGATTAAGTTGTACAACAGTCCTCATTTATAAACCCCATAGAATTATTGTAAAGATTAAATTATATACTATATATGATTTAACATATATTACATATTTTACATATATACATTCATATATTTTACCATCTACATTATATACACACACACACACACACACACACACACACACACACACACACACACACCAAATGTGTGTGTATATATCTCTGGGTCAGAGCACCTAGAAGGAATAGAGATAGATAGAATAGAAGGACAAGGCAAATATGCTGGCATATATATATGTATATTTTACCATAATATATATATATTTTTTTTAACCATATACCATATATGGTATGCTTCTGGCATATAGTAGATGTTGAAAGAAGGATGTTTCCCTACATTCTTGACTCCATGACCTCTATTTTTTCCTAATAGTTTCAGTAACTGCTCAGAGATTAACTGAGGTGATGAAAAAAATCTATGAGCTTAATGCAGGTAACTAGAATTAAACAATAATGGCACAAATAAATAGGTTGCATGCAACCTATTCTTTTGGGTCTGAGAGAAAGACACCATCTCAAAAAACATACCCTGGAACTCAGATGCCAGGAGACTACATGCTTATGTAGTCTTTTCTCATCTCACAATAACTAAGCTGAATTTGCATTGCATAAATGATATGCCTGTGTTTACATCAAATGTCTTTTTCCAGCATAGTAGTTCTCAACCTTTTTTCCTTTGGGAATACACGTGACATTAACATAAATTAGCATATCTGACATTCTCTCTGGGGGGCGATTCAGCGACTTCCCTAATTCCTGATAGGCACTTCTTTCTCTCCCACTCTAGAAATCCTACTGGAAAAGAGATGGTGAAGGTGACATTATACAGATAACTTCTCTAATTCTTTTCCAAATAAATTATCTACAAATTTTAGCAAATCATCCACCAATGTTCTGCTCATAACATATCTGAAACTTGGGTGGTAAAATACTCAGTTTAAAAGTTGCTCTCCCAGGGGATGCTGTGGTCATGACAATTCAGAATGGTTACAACACTCTGAGTCCACCAGACCTGGAGATCCAAGTAGACTTTCGCAGTCTCCAACATCTAAGCTAGGTGCTTCTAGGTGCTCTGACCCAGAGTGGAGGCACAAAGTCAGGATGCATTTTCTCTGCGTACTTACACTGAACAAAAAAGTCTATGTTCACGTCAGTGTGTTGGAACTAATGGTTATCTGGCCTCAGTGTCACTGAGGCAAAGCACTGACATATGAACAAAACCACTCCAGGCTTCCTGTCTTCCAACATATTCTATCTATATAGTCTTGCCATCGACTGTCAATTCTGTCTAACCACCAGAAGCTTCCTCCCACATCTTTATGCACTTAAGCATTCTATTCAACAGATCAGATCGACTCTCCCCTCTGGTCAAAGCCATTTATTATCCGTCGTAAGTAATGTGACTATGGGGGATGCTACCTGGGGCCACTGGAAACCTGCCATGGTTTACAGCCTTGGAACAGACTCAGGAATTGTAAGTTAAACCTCTTTAAGCCAAACCCAAACCTTTTATAATTGAAATTACAATAAATCACACCTCCTAAATCTTCCTGGAGCAGACTCAAGAAAGGTCTCCTCTTGGTCTAACTGCCAAAGAGCTTCCTAATAAGGGAGCCAGATCAAGAAGGACAATTTGAACTTTAGCTGTGCCTCTGGCTAATGCAGGGAGTATTAGAGGGTCTGTTCTTATATTATGGAGGCAAGGAATAGAGATAGATAGAATAGAAGGACGAGGCAAAACTGTAGATGTCAATGGCTCCCTCTCTAAGATCAAGTTCACACACCCAAGTGTGATGTATATTGTCCCCAGGATCTGTCCTGCCCTAAAGGAATGTGTCCTTCCAGGATGGCACTTACCTTTGTGCATTGCAATGATTCAAATGCATTTCCCTTTGGGTTATGAGGGCCTCAAGGGCAGACATCATGACTTAGCAAACTGTAATTCTTAGTGACCATCAGAAGCCCAGAGGGTGTGTCATCAATTCTGAAAAATGAGCAAAGTCACTGCAGGAAAGCTGCATATAAGCCATCAGGGCAAATTTGAGAAGAGAACCTCAGATTGTGCATAATCGGAACAATTCGAGGGCATATCCTTTTCTTCTAGAAGGAGTGTAAGTACATTAGGGAAGGCTGTTATAAACTGAACACAAAACATCGAGCTTCAGTTTTCTCCTAGAGATACATCAAGATCTGTGATCCCGTCTAAACTCTCACTTAGAATAGTAGTTACATTCCATTTATGTGCCATAAAAGAAAACAGATACAATTTCTTTACAGGTGCACTTGTTTCTAAAATAATGTTCCTCCAACTTGAATGCCCGCCATATTTATCAGACATGGCTTCAGGGCAACTTTTAATATCTCCCCCAAACAAATTCACCCTCCAAGGATGAAGATGTGCCCATGTTTGAAGATATTTAAAGAACAATGTCCATACATAATTATAAAGAATGGTTCCCCAAACCATTCCCAATGCTTTGGGGCAACTTTTCAGTGTCTTGGAGATAAGCATATATCTATTAAGAAGACGGCTTTGAGGACAGTGGTGAAGCTTTAGAATTACACATTCTGATGGGCTACAGAAAAATAACCAACTTACTATGAACTGCTTACTATGAACCAAACATTCTGTTAGCCACAGGTACCTGAAAATAACCATACCCACAAGAGTTAGTATTTATCGAGTGCTCACTATCTTTCAGCCATGGTGCTAAGAGTTATTTTATTTTATTCTCCATTTTTTTACAGACAAGAAAACTGAGAAAAAAAAAAAAGAAAACTGAGGATGAAAAAAAAACTACATATTTTGCTAAGGTTACAAATCCACAAGAATCAAGATTCACCGGAAAATTAACTGGCTTATTTGTAATTACTATGATTTATATGCTACCTCATGAGCTTCGCTCTTAACCACTGCAATACAGCTTCTAGATTTTTCCTAAAATATTATAGGAACACATGGATTCTAATTTATGCTTCTTTTCAATTAAAACATTGTCTAATTCAGTGCTCAATAACACTATCAGTGGCAGTGGTCCCATCAAGACAAGGAAGGAGGACAAATAAGAACAACAGGCCAAAGTGACAAGAGATGGTTCAGCTCATATACTCCCCCAACAAAAGCCATGCTCATTGGACCCAGCAGCAGAGACAGAGAGAAAGTCCCTAGGTGGCTTCCTGCCAGCGACAGAATGGTTCATTGAGACTTGCTTGCTACTTCATTCCAGGTGAGCCGCAGCAGGATCCTGAGCCTCAGTCGCTCCATCTTGGCATCAGGAATGGGTACATCCATCTCCCTTCTTCAGCCTTCCCCTATGAATATTTATGAAAGGCCTCTAGAATCCTAGTACCCCATAAAAATGCAAAGTACAATGATTATTAATGATACAGTTAGCAAGAAGGACATTTGTTATTTCTACTCAATTGGTTTCCCCCGGGAGCAGAAACAATTTTTTTTTTGACATAGTATTAATGTGCCATCGTTGCAACTTTGATCATCTGTCATTTTCTTTTGGGGAAAGTTGGGCCACAATTCGGGTAGCACCCTTCCCTCTCCTCTGCAATATGGGCCCTAGCTGAGCTCTGGTTGCTTCACGGTGTAGATAAAACTATGGATCTTTATTTGATTTCTGGTATCAGGAAACAATTTATTAGGATCCAGGCAGTTAGGCTACTCGACTTCCTTTCTTGCCAAGGTAGTCACCAGTCGCACGGGCAGCCCTGGCTCATAAATCTAGTTTTATTTCCCCATCTATTCACCTGGAACTAAGTGATTTTTTTTTTCCAAAGGCAAAGGGGAGAACGCATTTCCTTATGTAAGCACTCTCCCTCCAGCTCCTAATCACCATTGTTTCTCCGACAAACCAGCGAGCAGCTGAAGCAGGGAGCCATCTCATTTCTCCTGCATTCCACTTGTGTTTTCAGAGTTTACAGAAAAACACTGCAACCAATTTGGGATTTCCCTGTAATGATCCACTTCCTCTAAACAAGCCAGAATTGATTCAAATGTGAATTTCAGAGACTGAAAGGGCTTTCTGAAAATATCCATTTTCATATGCCCTTCAGAACTACCTTGCCTTTCTTTCTGCTCCCATCCCCCGCTCCCACCCTCCCTCCAGCCCCCCCACCCCGCCTTCCCCTCCTTCTTAAGACTTTCCCAGGTCCCTCTTGGCTGTGGTTGAACGACGTTGGCTCCTGTCCATGCTGCAACAAAGACCTGGCATTCCAGCTGTCTGCGTCTAATCTCCAGTGTCAGCTCTCGTTAATGTGTGAGCGTGAAATCAGAGGGGGCAGAGCTGCACGGAATATTAAAACCATGATCAGAATTCCGCTGAAACGCTGAGAGTCTGCAAGCACCATTAGAGGAGGCTGTCAAATCACGGCTTCGCATTAAATAAAAGAAAAGATTTCTATCAGAGGAAAGTACAATCAGTGAATCGCTGAGCTAAATTAGCATTTTTTCAATTGGAGATCGAAGTTGATTTATTGTTCTACACGACATTAATGTAACTATGTGCTTGACCTGCTAAGGCAGCTAATTTTTCATTTAAATGGTTTCTTTCCTTCCCGGTGCAAAGGCTGCAATCATATTTCAACTTTGCAGAGTGATCAGAAAAGTCGTGGAATGCTGCAGAGATGTCTTAGGGCGGCCTTCTCTTCCCCTCCCCTCTCCTTCCTTTCCTTTTTCCAGCTCCTGCGCCTTCCTCCTCCCCTCCCCTTCCCCCCTAACCTCATGGCTGGTGGTCAAGGTCACAGAGGAAGAGTAATCTCAAAGCCACCGACTTCAAAGCTTCCATCAAAGAAGCCCCTACGTAGCCATTGAATTAAAAGGGAGTGGGGGGAGGGTGGGGTCTGGGCACTGGCCGTTCGTATCAGCAAAAAAGGACCCTTTAACTGCCCTGCTGGTAGGGCCCAATCTGGGGCGTCCTGGGTCCAGACTCTCCTGCCAGCCTCCCAATGCGTCTCCTCTCATCTTCCCCAGCCCCCTCCCCTCGGCGCACACATCGCCTGAAGATAATATACATTTCCAATTAGCAGAGCACATTCTAGCCATGTTCTCTTTTACTGCCCTAACTATCTTCCTTTTGGTTAAAAGCTGGGCTGTCATTAACGAAATCCTGCCGTTCTGTTAATCCCAGATACAATGCTTCTTTTCTTTCTCAGGCTCTCCGGAACATAAAAACTACAGTTACTCAAGCGCCCCTTTTCTATTTAGATTCCTTGTCATTTGTCTTTCATTACATACCTGATGTAGCACAGTAGCAGTCGAAGTTCCTGGACGTAGAAGGAAAGGACACAATTATATTTGTTTCTCTATATATCCTTGCTTGCACAAGGCAGCGGGCATAATCGGTTTTATTTATTTATTTATTCAAGCACATTGATTTTAATCTCTGGAAATTGATGAGAATGTTTTAGGATGCTTTGAAGAGCACTATGGTGTGGGAAACTTGTTGGATCTAAAGCTAGCTGGGAGTCCTGGGTGAGCCCTGATAAATTAGACTTCAGTATTTATCTGAAATGCTTCTTATGAATTAAATCATTGTATTCCACAGTGAGAAGGCAGGGATTGGAAAGTGGGTGGTGGGCAGTGGGGCTGACATTTGCCACGCTACCAATATAAAAATGTGATTCCCCAAACAAAATAGGCATTGTGTCAATAGCTAGTATTTATAATTTAATGTTGTTTTTTTTCTAAATCCAACATCTACCTACTTAGTGAAATTACAAATTAGGAAATTTTTCAAAATTTGGGGGAGACAGGAGGGCCTTGTCAATTCCCTTAGAACTGGAAAACAGGAGGAGGTGAGGCTAAGAACAGGTCCAATGGACCACTGCATAGGGGCTGCTTATGGACAGAGACAGCGGAGTTTTGTCCACCCTACCCCCTCTAAAAACACTGAAGTCTCCTCAAGGGTCAGTGAACTGGGGGGGAACTTCCCTCTCACCTCCATCACAATTGGACCTAATTGGCACCCCCTAGTCAGCCAGAAGGCCATGGAGTGATTGGGTCAGGGTGCTGACCTCTGCTCTGATTCAGTGACAGGGCCTCTCTACAGGCCAAAGGGGAGGTTCTGGGAAAGAGACTGTTTTGTTGGATGCTGGAGCATGTGCCACTTGTCACTTTGTACCTGCTGCCATTTTGTCAAAATTGCTTATCCTTGCTTATCTTTTACTCCATTTATAAAGTAACACCATCTCTCCCCTATGTTGATTTTTGTTCAAATCAACCACTCTAAACAAAGAGGTGTGGATTTCATTCTCCCAAAGGCAAGGAGACTCTGGTCACTAAATACAAAACACGCCTCCCTGCATAACACACTAGCCCTCTGCTTCCTTCCTAGGTGATTTCCACTGTGAGTCGGTACCAACCAACAGTGAGTGTCTATTGACTGAGTTTCCTCTGTCCCCTGACAATCCATTCATTAGCCAAGAGGTGGCGTCACAGCATGTCACTCCCACATTTCCAATCTGCAGGGCAATCCCTACCAAAAGACCCAGACACAAAGCTCAAGAATTTCCTGCACTTACCATTTCCATGCACAATGGTTCCCCAAACATAATGCACCTCTCTTTTATGTCATAATCTATTTCTGAATATATTTTTATCCATGGAACTAAGGACTTTTATATGGTTTTGGTCACTTTTGATGCATAAAATTAAACCTTAACACCTGGGAGAAATGAGGCACACTTAGTCAAACAACCCACAGGGCCTCCATCATGCTAAGAACTCAGCAAGCAACCAGACTCAAAGGTCAGAGGGACCATTCTTTGGGACACAGCAGGTTCTTTGGGGTGGGGAAAAAAAAGGAGGGGGGACAAATCTGGAAGAAGAAGCAGACTTTACACAGTATAGCCAGGCACCATGGTCCAAAGGCATAGTTGAAGGAATTTTTAGCACCCAAAGACAGGTCAGTGGACAATCAGATGGACAACGACAGACCAAAGGATGGGGTCATGAGATCAGTCCACTTCAACACAAAAGCTCAATCCACATGGTTTAACACACAACACACACACACACACACATACATACACACACACACACACACACACAAAGAAACACTCTGATGAGTGAGACAAGCAGCAGAGCCATTACCACCTTGACTTTGGGGACAAGATCCAGTTCTCAAGGACAATGGAATCACTACCAGAATGGATGCATGGAAACACTGAGAGGAGTAGAAAGAAAGCAACAAGCCAGCCTTAGAAGTAGTCCTCATCTTAGAAGAGGATTGTAATAGTACTACCCCATAGGACCATTGCAAGGATTGGGTGGCTTGTACTATCTATAGTTAGATCTCAATGTAAATTTAAAACTATATTTAAATCTGTGTATGGGTGTGTTTATGTGTGTGCGCATGTATGCATGTATGCAGTGCATTTATGCACACATGAGGCACTAAGTTTCTACAGTTAGGCACCATCAAATGCTTGAGGTTCATCCCAGATTATCAAATTTCATATTCTGGCCGTAGTAGTCTTCTCTCATTTTTTAATTTTTTTATTTGTTTTAATTAGTTATACATGATAGTAGAATGCATTTATGCACTTTGATATACATAGATGGGATATAATTTCTCATTTTTTTGAGTGTACATGTTGGAGAATCACATTGGTCATGCAGCCACATATACAGATAAAGTAATAAAAGTCTGTTTCATTCTCCTATCCTTCATATCCCCTCTCTTCACTTTCCTCTACCTAATCTAAGGTAACTCTATTCTTCTCTAGTGCCCCTACCCCTTTATTGTGAATTAGCATCCACATATTAGAGAAAACATTTGGCCTTTGGTTTTTGGGGATTGGCTTATTTCACTTAGCATGATATTCTCCAACTCCATCCATTTACTGGAAAATGCCATAATTTCATTCTTTTTAAAGCTGAGTAATATTCCATTGAATATACTTACCACATTTCTTTATCCATTCATCCATTGAAGGGCACCTAGATTGGTTCCATAGTTTAGCTATTATGAATTGAGCTGCTGTGAATATTTACATGGCTACATTCCTGTAGTATGCTGATTTTAAGTCCTTTGGGTATAAATCGAGAAGTGGAATAGCTAGGTCAAATGGTGGTTTCACTCAAAGTTTTCTGAGGAAATCTTCATACTGCTTTCCATAGTGATTGCACCAATTTGCAGTCTCACCAGCAATGTATGAGTGTACCTTTTTCCTCACATCCTCACCAACATTTATTCTTACCCGTATTCTTGATGATTGCCATTCTGACTGGAGTGAGATGAAATCTTTGTGTGGTTTTGATTTGTATTTCTCTAATTACCAGAGATGTTGAACACTTTTTATAAAAGAAGAAAACATTTATTGACATTCACAAGTGATGTTTGACACTTCTATGTTTTATTTACTTGACTCAATCCCACAACACTCATTTGATTGTTATATAGTAACCCTATAAGTAAGGTATCTATGGTTACCTCTTCTTTCTATGTTGAGGAAATGCAAGAGTAAGAAGACTGAGTAACTTCTCCCAGGTAAGGTACCCAATAATGGTAAAAGTATTGAAACTCATGTTTCTAAAGTCTTATGCCAAATGATTCATTCTTCAAAAATACTATGAGGATGTGAAGTATCTATTCCCAGAAGTGGCCTTTTGTAAAATTGAGATTCAAAGCATAATGAATATAAATCTGATCAGAAAGACCCATCAATAGCACAACATCACGTTAAATTGGGGATGAATTAGTTCATTTGGAGAATAATAAACTAATTACTAGCATCTCTTGAACAAATATCAAGTACTATAAAGTATTCCAAATATGTAATATATTAAGACATTTTATTCTCCTGCCACCCTGTTAGGTATCTATTATTATCCTCATTTTAAATATGGGGAAACCTAAGCACAAACAAGTGAAGTAACTTTTCTAAAGTAAAACATTCAGTAAATGGCAAAGCCAGGATTTGAACTCAACCAAATCTGGACTTCAAATTCCACATTCTTTGCCAACATGTTTTGTTATCTTGGATAAGAATGCAGCATGATTCTTCATTCTTATTATAGTTTAGTAAGGAGTTCTGAGGAAGGAAAATTAAAGTCCTGCAGCTATGAGTGAACCAAAGACTCTGAATGCAAAGTTATAACTTAATCACAAGCCCTCTTTTTATGAAGTTTAAGTCATTAATGTACTTCCTACTTCTATTAGAATTCCCCTCAAACCAGGGAAGATCTTGTCCTACACACGTTGGGGAAATGGAATAAATAAATAATATGGTAGTGGGCACTTCTATCAGTTACCAATTGTGCAACTTCGGAATGGAAGCATTGTGCTGT